TGAATTGGGCGATGAGGACAAAGAAGGATGGCATCTGGATTCTCCTCTTTCTTCCTGTACAAAGAGAATGAGAGAAAGCAATTTAAGATTCTTCTAGATTCTAGATACATTATGGACATATCAGGTTGATGATGCTAAGTTTCCATATTTAACACATTGAGGAGTAAAACTGGATATATATGGGCTGCTGCCATCATGCCCTGGGAAAAACCTACTCATGAAAGGGTTAAAAAGAACAATTCACATGGTTCAAAGCAACAATTGTACAGTTCTGAGGAAGCAAATTGCAAAAATCATAGTAGCACATGGTAAATGTTCACTTTTGACATGACAAGTGATTGATGTCAATGATGAACATGAAGCCACCATTCATCTTAAGATAAAACAAGGGAATGAGGGGCCATTCCATATTTTTCAATTGTTTCATGTTGCAGACTGTAGAATGCCTCTTAATTATCAGCATTTCTATTCATAAGGAGATCCGATTCTTGCAGCATCCTCAGGGTAAGAATGCACATAATGATTCATGTTATACCATGAAAATAGAGAAAATGTTATTCACTCTTTGAGCCATCCCCCTCCACCTGGGTGCCCTGGGGCATATCTGAATTCATCTGAGAGTGCTTTGAAGATGTCCTCAGACTTGAAGTTCTTGTTCATTTAAAGGACTGAATCCGAGAAGGGAAATTCATACATCGATAAGAGGATCCTCTAACTACTAAAGGATTACAGCAAAATCACAAAACATAGCATCAGTAGGAATGGATATGAAGTATGATTTCTACCTACTGAGAGAAACTTTGATAAGGGGTTTTCTGCCAAAGGAATGCAGCATCACCACCACTGATTTCACAGCTAATTTTACTGGTATGGGGCATGGGTGACATTCTTCACTTTCAATAACCAAGAGTCTCAATTGAACATCTATCAATTAAGAAGACAAGAAAAACCCAGGTTTCAAAATTGTGAAGTGTAATGGAAGTAAGGTATGCTTTACTTCAAAATCTCAATATAAAAACTGAATCTACTCACTCTCACCACTGAAATCATGCCAAGATCAATCAGATTGGTTGGTCCTTTGGGAGATATGGCTTTCTGAAGAGGACCCCATTTTTAAATTCAAAATTCAGTTCTCCCCCATGTATTAGGCATTACATTCATTTTTTTACATTCAAATTATTCAAATTTTTACATTCAAATTCAATTCAAATATTTTGAATTACAGACATATTTTTTTACAAGTGAGATTAGAGACTCTTCTACCAATACCTGCTTTAAAAAAATTAAATATCACTAATAGTGATGTAGCCAGGTCAAATTCAAAGTAACTGTAAAGAAAAAAGTTCATCATAAAATTGCTAACACCAACCAATTATGACATCATGGAGGAGAGGGAAATTGGATTGAAATGATGGCTTGCTAGAAGCACGACCAGTCCTTGAATACTGAGCCCTCACATGGAATGTCAGCAGTTTCCTAGACATTCTTTGTGGCAAGATGTGGTGTATCTGCAGTACATCTACTCAGGACCTGTATCTGATATTGATGAAAGGATTAATTCATTAACTAAATCAATGGCTTTCAGAGAAGCAGGAAGGAGACCATGCATAATACTGTATACTAACTATATGCACATTTACATGTATAAATATGCATATATAACTGCAAACCATACAGCACGAAACAGAGAATATGCATAACTTTGGAATTAATAAGTTCTTTAGTAATACCCAAATTACATGGAGCTGTAAAGATCAGCATGTTAGGATACAATTAAGCAGAATTTTCATGTGAATTCCATATTACTAACCAGATTTGTCTAAAGTTCCTTTCTCTTCAAGTTTTCATTCCACTGTCTAAGGTCATCTTCTGAGTCAAGCGGAAGAATTGGCAAGTCTTCAGGAAGCTGAATATCAGTGAGTTGAGGGCTGAGCTCAATTGGGCTCCCAAGAGTCTTCTGGAGCTTCTTGACTTCTTGGCTCAATCCAGATACATGTTCTCCAAGATTGTGAAGGGTGCGAAACACTTTCCGCTGGAACTCTAACGAGGGGACAGAAAGAAATCATATCCATGATCTATTAATTACACTGCATTAAACCATCTCTGTAGCTGAATTATGGATAACAAACAGTAGACAAACCTTCTTGAGACAGTCCAGTCACAGAAGGGATACTCAAGGGCCACCCATCCTTTTTGCATCTTTCTCCTACAAATAATGAAGAGAAACAAAAGAAGACCCAAATAGATACTCCAAATTATTCTTATAATGATCATACCAAGTTGTAAATGGAATGACCACAACTTAAATTTCATTCAATCACTCCTTTCATTTACTTATCCCACCATTCCCACTTGTAGTTGTGGTTCAAGCAGACCGAAGAGCATCTTCTGATGCTCTTAATCCTATACAATTAATGCTAGCTCAGCAAGTGGGGTGCTGGGCCTCTCCTGTCAAAACACTTTCTTACAAAGTCATTCCAAATTGTACAAGGGCTGCTGACTGGTCTTTTGCTGGTCATCTTGGACTGAAATACTCTTTTTAGGTAGTCCCTCAGGAAGCATGCAGTAGACATGTCCAAACTATTGGACCAGAAAACCATGAATTCAGAAATATTTCTGACCCAAGACTCCTAGTGGATGCCATAATTCTGTGTATCACCATGTAAATCAAGCCACATGATACAAGTCCAGTGACATGATTCTTCTTAATATTTTTCTCATACCCACTTCATTTCTTACACTTCTATTACTTTTGACCACAAGTGAATGAGTAGGAGTGAGGAATTTAAAAATTTTTGAAATTCTTGAGAAGTTTTGCAACCACTGAAAAAATACCGGTAAAACTGCAGAAAACACAGATGTGTGATTTTCACAGCACCTGTCATTGGAGAACTCAAGTTTGAGAATTTAATTTCTCCCCATGGCAGCCTGCATTATTTGCAGCAAGCAATGCACAGGAATTATCAATGGTCCCATAACCAGAGTCTGGAGCCCATTCCAGCTCCTGTGCATTCAGAATTGAACCAATCCAATGTGCTCTGAAGTTCCTATCCAAATTTGGCAAGAAAGAGCACCAGGAGGAAAGAGATGCATCTGTACCTCAATGTCAATGACACTGACCAACTCTAGGTACAGGCTGCAACAATGAATCTTGTTGATGCATACAATGAACAGGAAAGGAGAGAAAATATAACCCTGTCAGTCTAAAACCTCATCCTGCTCACTTGAGCAGAACTTCTGGATATAAATGCAAACTCTGAGGATAAACTTTTATAATGGAATCAAAATATCTCTTTTTGTAGCATGAGAACTAACAATTAACAGAATGAAATCAGAAAATCATGGCTGAAAATTGAAATTAATACCATCATCATAAGATGCAGGAGACTTGAACAGCAGGGAATCTTGTTGGTGAAGCACAGGAGATGTAAAATGGGAAGATGACTGATGTTGCTCAGAACTGATGTGCGACTGGGAAAAGGAATGGTGAAGACCTGAATAGCCCTGCTGCAAGTGCTTAGAGGTTGCATCAAATGGATGTGGGGGTGGAGGAGGCAGCTGATGAGAAGCAGAAGATGAAACCACAGGTGACTCAAAGGAATGCTTTCTCCAAGGTGATGATGGCACTTCAAGATTCAAGATTGCCAAGATTCATCATCATCTTCATTATCTGAGAAAACGGTGGTCTTCTTGATTCGAGTGGATTTTCGTGTCTCTCCATCATTCAACTCCAAGTCAGAGGGCTGCTCCAGATCAGAACTCTTCTCAGCTTTCCAAGCTAACTTTCTTGCTTCTTCATAATCACCTGCATCAATCAAGATAACAGTGAAAAACTCAATATTATTGCTGGAAAAGTGCAGGACATCCAATTGTTTCATTTAAATGGGTCTACTCACCTGAGATTTGAAGCACTCTGCAGGGAAACTGGGGCCATGAAGGAGCAGGCATCAGACTGCTGAATCAGCCTAGTTCTATTTTTTGTTCCCGGCCAACAACACTTTCCCTCAGACACCCAAGTAATGGGGACAGTGGCAGTTGCTTCCTCCTCATCAAACACCACAACAGCCCACATTTCTACACAAACATAGGTTCCAATAACTGCAGAGATGAGGCAATGAAGTTCAGAGCAGATGAAGGTATAGTTATATAGAAGGTGAATGCTTCAACATTAAGGCTGAGGGGCTGGTAAATCAGTCAATCAGGATAGTTTTCTTAAGTTGAGTCTCCATTGCCTCATGATGAATGAAGTATTGGGAAGCAAGCATGCCATCCATGATGAGGAAGGAGGACACACTTCTGTAGCAACTCATGCTCTAGCCAAGTCTTCTGCCGTCCTGGTCTCTTACATTTGAAAATATTCAAGTAAGAGGAAGGACATGGGTATTGATAAAGGTTATCTTTGTTCAAGAAAGGTCTTCCAACAATGGCTAACTGACCATCATCAACCCTAAAAAAATTCTCAACCAGGACTACTTCAAGTTGATTGGTCAAAATGCAATGATTTCCACATGACACTTTCACTTGATCTCCTTTGATCCAGAGGGATGAAATTGGACCTACAGAAGGTACATCTGCAATGGGTGTACATGTATTTTTTGCAAGCAGTGGCAATTTATCTGAACTACATTCCTCCAGTTCTAAGAGCCGTTTGACCACTTGTTTCAGTGGTGCCTTTCCCGATTGTACAAGCTTCTTCATGTGTTAAAGATAGTTCTGAAATGGGAAAGAGAAAGAATCAACTGGGCCATGCTTTCTCACATCATCACAGATGTGAATGAGGCTATGCATGTTGTATGTCACACTTTCTTGACCATAGAGTTGAGAACTTGAATTTATAAGCATCTCTGAAAGGTGTCTTGCATATTGAAGGTGACTACAGTCATATGCAAGACTTGAAGAAGTCAAGATTCTCATTGTCACATGAAACAAAAGGAGTGCTTGAAATGATGTTCATTTAAGGCATCCTTCAGGACAATTGGTCCAGTATATAAGAGCAACTGCCTGAACTCAGTGGCTTTCCATCTATCAAGTTCAGAGAAGGACCTTGGCTTTCTACAAAATTCAATGGGTATGTATCTACAAAGAAGCACCAGTGCATCAGATAAAAGAAGCTGAGCAGCAGCACTGACTCGACAGGTCAGTGGGCCAGATTTCCACAGAAGACAAAGCTTTCGCATGACTCCTAAGCAAGTCAAGTGCATATAATCATGGGGAAATTGTTCAACCATGTCAATATTCAACTCTGACAGAGGGACACACCATTATGATGCTTAGGATACTCTTGAGTTCTGAAATTGATGTCTGTATGAGGAGCACTACTAGTACATGGGAAAACAACTCGTCCGTGCCATTCCCGATTGAACAAACCTGTCACATCCATGATACACTGTATGTCCCTTTATCTGTTTAATGAAAGCTCTGGCTGGGGCATCACAAACAAACACTATGTCAGTTACTAAAAGAGAGACTAAACCTGCCATCAATGCCATGAATGATGCCATGAATGGCATCAATGTTTTGATGCCATTCGTGCTCAGAAATTTTACATCTTGAATTAAGTGTCTCAGGAATTCTCCACAGTCTGCAGGTTTCTTTTTACCACAATACACACCAACTGGAAAAGGTATTTTGTCTTTGGCATTCCTGATGAGGCACAAAATGGGCCAAAACTGTTGTTGGCTGGACTTGAACAGAGGAATGCCATCAATATTGATGGTCAGAGCAACTGAGACCATGTCAGAGTCTGCAAGCCTTTTAGAAAGAGCTTGTTTGAAACCAAAGTGATAATACTGACCACCATCAGACATTACCAGGCATGAAACATTACTGACCAAACTATAAACAGCTCGGGGGTCTTTAGGAAGTTCTGGATGATCTTCTGAAGACCTTGAAGCTGTGGAAGTGTGATATTGTAGGTGTTAGCCCATTCATGCAATCTGGCTCTTAGAGGCAGAATATGTAGCTGCTCAGATTCAATTCCTACAGAAATTCTTCCTTCACTTGAGGACTGGCCACTCTCCCAATCTGACAAGAGTCCACCATCCAAGTCTGAAGTCTCTACAGAATGACTCCCATGTCCACAACCATCTACACCAACAAGTTCCTGTGTCACATCTAAAAATTCAGAATTCTCTTTGTCATCATGGGAGACCTGCTCATTAATCTCATATACTGAATTGTGGGACTGGTGCATTCCATCAGCTTGCATGAAAGCAGCCACAAATGCTACCGCATATCTCTGTTGTTGTCTTTTCCCCACTTGCCTGGAAGGTCCTGGGATTCTCTTACTGTTTCCTGCTGGTGACATTTCAAAATTATAGTTTCCAGAAACAATTCCCATCAATAGATCTGTTCCCATCAAACAGAAAAAAGAAGGAAAATTGGTCATGACAAAAAATGAGAGGGTGCATCTTAGGAAACAGCAGCGAAATGAATCACACAAGCCCAAATAAAGACAATAACCACATGCATTTCATGCCTAGAATATGAATGAGTTTTAGAACCACAGACCAAAATAAAACTCATGCTATAGAACAATAGACTGATTCACTCTGGGAGTCAGTGAATACCTTTCATAGCCTTGGTAACAAGAGGTAAGTATCAGACTAAGTTCCCTTGGGCTCCTAGTATCTTGAATTTTCCTACAATTATATATTTTTCAGGACAGGCCATTCCAATAAAATACAACCATAAGCCAAGCAGGCACCCAGGGGTCCCTGCTTGTTTTAATCCCCTGATTAGGATGAAGAATGCAGAGCCTTTTCTCACAAATTTTGGGACAAAGTCATTCCACTATGTATAATGTCTACCAACCCAAATGCCAACCTTGGACTGAGAGAATTTCAATAGGAGTCTCTTGAGAAGCATGCAGCAGAAGTGTCAAAAGCATTTGGTGCAAAAACCCAATTCAGAAATTTCTGCTCAACCTAGAGACTCCAATGGATGAGGGCATTTCACATCCAATCAGCATGCAAATCAAGCCATTGGTTCAGCTAACATTTAACTTAATACTTTCAGTCCAAACTCAAAGGTTCTGCCTCAGAAAAGAGTGGGGAAGAAAATGATTTGAAAAGAAAACCGAGAACTATGCCTCCTTGGAGATTTCTATCAGATAACAACAGCAAACCAGAGTTTCCATAATGCTGCAGAAGCAGTGAGGATCATTCTTTCCATATTTTCTGTCATTTATGTAGATGACAGATGTCCATGTATCCCATTAAGTCACAATAAAGAGGATGTGATCTGATTGGCTGGCCTCACACCAAAGCATAATCTGCTTGGAGCAGATTATGCTTTGATTATGAAATCTGATTTTTATATCTAGGCTTCACTCTACTATTCAAAGAAACCATTACAAAGCATAATTACTACCATACAGACATGCAGGAGTCTAAGAGCACCCAAATGAGAGTAGAGAAAGATAATTATCAAAACAAAGCAGCCATAGAAAATAAGTCAGATTGCTCAGAGCATAGAAGGCAAATAGCATAAACAGACAGTAGAAGACATGGACAAAATATTAAATCAAAGGCTGACAAAGGCTATAGGCCTAAACTCAGATCTAAATCGTGACATTGTCATTATCTGGAAAAGATGACTGTACCTCCAGGCCAAGGGTCGCAAATCTTGGGTTATACCTTATCATCGACCTAGAAAAACCTATTTCCCGCTTTCTTCATAGGCGGAAAATGTTAATACCCTTAGCCTACACTATTATGAATTCAAGGAATCACTTCTAAATTCGAACGAACGAAAATGGCATGCACGGTGATCAGGGCCGTTTCTAGGCATATTGGCGCCCCGGGCGAGAACTTCTAATGGCGCCCCCCCCCCCCCCCTTCCCCATTCCAACAACTGCGGCGCGAAGCAAGACCGCAATTCTGGCGATTAGAGCCTTATCTCCAGTAGCTGACTGGGAGCTGGAACTGATGGAAATCATTTCGTTACATTTGTAAATAATCAAAGCCAAGTCAAGGCATATTTTTGCTTCCAAAGATAATATCAATCCACATGAATACACCGTAATTTAATTCTCCTTTGATGTGAGAGATTAACTCAACAGCTCACTCCAGGTAAACATATTCAGTCAGTTTTTTAATTATAAGGATACACGGTATATGATGACACCAATTTAAAATATCACATACAAATCACATGCAAAAATTACACACATTGTCGTCTAGGGGCAATCCTAACACCTAGACACTTGTCATGATGTTTCTAAAACGAGACCTTTCTCGACTTGGCTGCAGCGAAAGACTTGATTGCCACTGTGTAATCGATTCTGTGAGCGATCTGGTTTTCAATTGACAACATGGCCAGTGCCGCTAACCTCTCTTGTGTCATACTGGAGCGTAAGTATGTCTTGATGAGTTTCAACTTACTAAAACTCCTCTCCCCACTCGCAACAGTAACCGGAATCGTTAGTAGGATCCTCAACGCGACCCATACATTTGGGAATAATGCATGCATCTGAGTGCGATGGATGTGCTGCAACACCTCAAGAGGTGTTACTGAATCTTGGATTAGGACCGGCTGAATATGATGAAGTTCCTCGTATAGTTGGACACCATCTATATCTGAACAATCATTATCCTGCAATGTTAAGTGGAGGTCTTTGCACAGCTTCATCAGTTGCTCTTTATCAGGTAGTTTCTTGATGTTATAGAGGAATCCCCACGTTTCGTTNAGTGGGGAAGAAAATGATTTGAAAAGAAAACTGAGAACTATGCCTCCTTGGAGATTTCTATCAGATAACCACAGCAAACCAGAGTTTCCATAATGCTGCAGAAGCAGTGAAGATGGAACAGTCATTCTTTCCATATTTTCTGTTATTTATGTTGATGATAGACGTCCATGTATCCCATTAAGTCACAATAAAGAGGATGTGATCTGATTGGCTGGCCTCACACCAAAGCATAATCTGCTTGGACCAGATTATGCTTTGATTATGAAATGATTATGAAATCTGATTTTCTATTCAGAGAAACCATTACAAAGCACAATTACTACCATACAGACATGCAGGAGTCTAAGAGCACCCAAATGAGAGTAGAGAAAGATAATTATTAAAACAAAGCAGCCATAGAAAATGTCAGATTGCTCAGAGCATAGAAGGCAAATAGCGTTAACAGACAGTAGAAGACATGGACAAAATATTAAATTAAAGGTTGACAAAGGCTATAGGCCTAAACTCAGGTCTAAATCGTGACATTGTCATTATCTGCAAAGGATGACTGTACCTCCAGGTCAAGGGTCGCAAATCTTAGGTTATACCTTATCATCGACCTAGAAAAACCTATTTTCCGCTTTCTTCATAGGCGGAAAATTGTAATACTAGCCTACACTATTATGAATTCAAGGAATCACTTCTAAATTCGAACGAACGAAAATGGCATTCACGGTGATGGACACAGTTCGCTTGCAGCACGCGCCAGCCTGTAGCGGTCATTTAGTCGCATTCTCATGAAACGTTATTAGATTCCCTGATAGGTGACGCTGCTTTATGTCAAACCGAAGCATTCAGTCAACGTTGGCTGGTAACACTGGATTTGATTCTTGGTTGTCTTTTGCGAAGAAATAATGATATATGCTCGATTTGATTGATATGCTGCATGATGCTAACAGATAATTCATTAAAACGCAATTTTGGATTATGTGATTGTGATATAACACTGATATGATATTCAAGCAGCGCTCGACTTGAACCTTCAACGCTTATGACATTGATATGACACTCACTGAACGTTCCAACAGCACTATCCCAGCAAACAATTTGAAACACATAACGTCAAATCAACGTTGAATAAACGTTCGGAATGCCGATACAACGTTGGTCCAACGCAGCCTTGTTTGCTGGGATGTTTGCTGGGATGCGAACCTAATGCCGAGATGAGAAAGAGGCATCCTGTTTCCCCGGAAGCAGGACACCGACACGATTTAATAATAGGTTACCCTCACTCCACGCACCCTTCGGCAGTGATCATGATTTGGATTCATCCTCGAAAACAGGGCGTCGTGGTCTCATGGAGTAATATGACCTCGCATACTTTCTTGTGTCCATCACCCTGCTCAGAATTATCCTGGGCAGGGCCGTTTCTAGGGGCGGGCAAACGCCCGGGGCGCCAGCAGGGGCCCGGGGCGCCAGCGGGGTAAAGGGGGGGGGGGGGCGCCAGCAGGGTAAAGAGGGAGAGGGGGGGGGGGGCGCCATTGGAACTGCTTGCCCTGGGCGCCAACATCCCCAGAAACGGCCCTGATCCTGGGTCTTGTTTGGTTGGGTTGCCACATTGGCCGAATATATCCAGAAGACAAATTCCTTCCCAGGCGTCGCTTGTGGGGGAAAATATCAAGTACTGTTCCAAAAGTACTAGAGACGCGTACTGATTGCATATATATGGTAACTAACCATGTTGGGCAAGTAGTCGCCATCATATTTCGCAGTCAGGAAATCTTGTTTGTTCGTGTGTCTCGCCAAATGTCTCGCCAGACGTCTATTGATGTCACGTTAACCGGACAACGTTCTCTAAATATTGATCTTTTCAACATTGAATCAATGTTAAAGGATTGATGCTATACTGAAGCTTTCTCTTACGGTTTTTCCCAATTGCTAACGTCCGTTTCTCGAAACTATACTTCCGTTTTCAAAACTATTTGTACAAATCCCAAAACTCTGCAAATTTTTCACAAAACTTAACAGCCGATTTCATTGCTAACGTACGAAAATCGAAACACGAAGCGCGATTTCCATATCTTTACGTACCTTTTTCGAAGCCTAACGTACGGAAAAGAATAATAAGACCGATTCGACGAGTGCGGACGATGTATCCATGGCTGACGACAGCAATCTCTATCTTCCAAAATTCTTTCCAACCAATCACAGAGGTTTTCTCATCGTCCCGAGTTGTCAGAGCTGAATGCTCCTTCTCAAACGTTGAAATAGTTTCTTACGTCGATAGAGGAATGTAATTGGCAGGCAATAATGCTGACAACTATTCAGAAAAGTTCAAAATACCCGATAACGATTAAGTTATGTTACAATATAATCAGCTACAAAGGGTTGAAAAGAGAGAAAAGAGGTCATTTTTGTTTATCATAAGTTACAAAATATTTATAACATAAAGGATGAAAGCGATGTAGGCCTATTGTTGAGAGATTGATTCACGAACTGCGAGGAACCGGTTTATCTGAGAGGGAGCGAAGGAGTGGAAGACTAAAATTAGCCGGAACTGAAGGAAACTGCGTTCCTGAGGAAGAAGTCATTGTTTCTCAAGATGATAATCCTGGGATGCAAAATTATTATATGCAAATAGTCAGACGTAAGGACGAGTCAGAGATTTGCTTAGCAAGTTCTGAAGAGTAGATGAAAAAATCCTGAGAATAAACGTCATTTCTCATGGGTGGGACAGGTCCTCCCGCCACTATCCAGGTGCGAGTGCAAAAATAAAATTCCCGTTGCTTTTGTAAAATCACTCTTGTGCCAAAATGGCTGGAGATAGCAAACCAAAAATGATCGATTGCTCAAAGGATGTGTAGAGGTGTGCATAAAAGGAATTTCATAGTTCTAGCTATCTAGCTGCTGTTTCAGAGATGCCACAATATTTTAAAGAGCGATGCGTTTTTTATGGTTCACCCTGTATAATCAATTTTCTACATTTTAGATACTTCATTTTGAGCTGCAAATACTGTCTTTAGACTTTTCGATACCAGTCCCTGGTATCTAATTCAGTGAAAATTTCTTTCGCAAATAATTGAAATTTTCTTTAAGTGGAGCCTGTGGCTTGCAGCTATGAAAAAAAAGTTGGAGATCGAATGCTTCGCTTCCATAATAAAAAAAATACAATCACGATAGAAGGGAAGAGTGGAACTCGCTTTCAGTGGATCACACCTTGCGACTTCGCCTGCCTTGCCTCTTGCAATGATGATCTCGGCAACTTACCCCCCATGTCCTCTCCTTCCAAGATTTTCCTCTTGAGTGTGTCCTTGGCTTTCTCTGAGAAGCACCTCGCTGCAGCAGGGCTCATCTCGATATCCCTCAAGGGGATGTCATGAGTTCCTATGATGGGAAATCAATGTTTTGGCGTTATTCTGAGATCCTCATGGGAGAGTTTTGCACAGAACGTATTCTCACCAAAATAGCATTCTCCATGCCGACTCGAGTGGAGAAAGGTGGAGTTCAGCTTTCCTTTCATAACAGTGCGTTTCTTGGTAGCTTCCGGATTGGAAGACTTCTTCCTTTTTTTATCAATAGCCTACAATTATCCGAAGTCAATAAGATGATTTGGAAATCTCCTCCAAATCCCCATGAAAATGCTGCTCTTTGCGTAAGGATGGGGCAGAATTTTGCAAGAATTTCCAGGTAAAGAACGAAATAAATTTAGACCTATTGTGAAGAGATCAACTCACAACCTGCGAGGAACCGGTTTATCTGAGAGGAAGCGAAGGAGCAGACGGCTAAAATTAGACGGAACTGGAAAAACTTGTGTTTATGTGGAAGAAGTCATTGTTTCTCAAGTTGATAATCCAGGGATGGAAAATTATTATATGCAAAGTGCCAGACGTAAGTACGAGTCAGAGATCTGCTTAGCGAGTTCTGAAGAGCAGAGGAATAAACCCCGAGAATAAATGTCATTCCGAGTGGGTGGGACAGGTCCTCCCGTCAGCGTCCTGATGCGAATGCAAAAATACAATTCCAGTAGCTTTTGAAAAATCACTCGGGTGCCAAAACGGCTGGAGATAAGCCAACATTTTCCAACGCTCAACGGATGCGCAGAGGTGTGTATGAAAGGAATTTCATAGTCCTGGCTGCTGTTTCAGAGGTGCCACAAAATTTCAAAAAGTTTCATCTTTTTGCTCTATCTTGCAACAGTTCCACTATGCAAGAGGGGGGAAGGCTAGCGTTGACACCCTGAACATGCATGGCGAAGACACCTCCACCATATGAACAGAGCTCGGCTTCGAAAAAACAGAATGAGAGAATGTCAAAGTTATTCCTTGAAAATATGATGCACCACGGCCGTCAGGATTAGAGTAGATTTTTATTTGCCATCTAAAAGCGGAGACGGAAAGACACAACAACTTGGGTGGATGAAGACGGAGACGAAACATCGAATCGGGTGAGCTCACGAAAGATATCACAGCCGGCTGGAAGACGCACGCCTCCTGTCGTTGAAATTTCTCCAGGTAAGAGCGGGAAGGAACACTTTCACAACCGTGACATCGACTGTCGACTTTCCAACTGCAATCGCATCGCCGAATCATCTGATGAACACCCCATCGACTGCACACTCACGAGCACGCGAGGAGTATTCCATATATGCATTTCGTTGTGTCCCTCTACCTGGCAGAAACACACCCAGTTCCTTCACGACGACGAAGACGATGACGACTGACTAGAGCTCTGCTTGGCGTTGAAAAGTTCCAACTTGGCCTTGACGGTCCCCTTGCAGATGCTGGGTCCCTTCGAGGTCGCAGACGACGCATCGATCACCCTCGTCACGACGGGGGAGGTGGTACTGCCTAGATTGTCCACGACGGAGGTCGCGGCTGCCGGAAGTCGACGATGAAGCCGGGCTTCTCGTAATAAGTTCTGAACGTTGGCACTCACAGTGATCCTCTTCGGACGTTTCTCCTTTTCGTGAACGCCCCGCACGTGTTCGAAGTACTCGACAATGCGGCCGACGTCGCGTTGGCGAGACGTCCGTTCGTCCTCACCGAAGCAGGACGCGTCTTCAGAGCTGTCCGTACAGGCCGACGACGATCGCTCGAAGAGCTGGGCCCTCGTGTCGGTCGCATCGCAGAACTCACTCGAGGAGTCCAGAGATGCAGACGCGACGAGACCGAGATCTGGGGAGAGGTCCGTGCTCGAGCTCACTCTCTCGGACTCCTCGACGCTGAAGAATCCCGACTCTCCCGAACCGCGTCTACGGCACCGACACGCTTCCCCTTCCACTTCTTCGGGGGGTCGTTCCTTTCCCGCACCCTCTTCCTCCTTCCGCACGAAAGTCGGGGAGTTCGGTAGAGAGTGGAAGAGGAGGGAAAGTGGGTATGGGGCGTCAGCGGAAGAAGATGACGGTGAGAGGGACGAAAGATCCAGGTTGGAGGACGTCGCCAGAATCTTCCCCGTCCCAAACGACAGCGTCGAAAAAGGATTGGTGGAGCTACGAGGTCGATAGTGAGGGTCTAAGCGGCACATCACTTGACTGATGTGTCGCGGACTGGCCTTGCCGAGCGGAAGGCGAATGGGTGTGACCGCATCCCGTGAGCGTTCCGAAGACGTGTCTCCTGGAGTCAACTTCTCATTTTCCTCTGCACCTGCAATGCATTCCCAAATATCAAAGACTTTCTTCAATCTCGATTCCGCACGTCGAAATACGTGTAAGAAAGTTACTCTGTAACGTAATGGGGATCGGAAGCGGAAGAGCGAGTTGTGGGGAGTCGACGGGCGATGAAGGAATTGTTCCGTTCTCGTCTCCGCAGAGGAGTTCTCTCAATGTACTCTCCAGTTGGGAGAACGACGGACGACTCTTCGGATCCATCTATCCAAAAACAATGGTGAGCCACGGAATCATCAGCAACGAAACCCGCCTTCCAGATATTATTGTCTAACGCAAGGAATCTAATGTTTATTGCCAACTTGATCGACAGTAACTCACTAAACCTCTTGAATTTTTCGTGTCATTCGAGTCAAGCCTGTTCCATTCCCTAGATCAGGGATACTCCAACTTTTTGGGTCCAAGACCCCTTTTCATGGAGGCCAATAGCCTGCGACTCCTAAGTTTTAGGTCCCCAAAAATGAAGACACCACGACACGAATGCTGAAACCTCACCTGGGCGAAATAAAAATTACTTTTAAACTGAAGAGCTCTTTTTCTCCTTAAGGATCGAGTCCATGGATCGACCGTTAACTAAAGGAGGTTTCAGCATTCGGCCCTAAGAGTTTAACTCTTTACCTGAATCCTGCAGAGTCAAAACATCTATCTCGCAATATCAATACCTTTCTTCAACCCCTTCCCACGACAAAATTCAAACGTCTCGTATTCATCTCTAAGAGCATCAACAGGAACGAAATTTGGCATGCTTCTTCCTCTCTCAACACAGAATCGCTGCAGCAAATTTTAAGCGCCATCTCTTCGGGGTTGAGGAGATCACTGAATCTCGTTTTTCGAAGACGTGAATTTCATTCCGGTATTCCCCCCCCCCCCGGGTAGCCATTACTGGGGAGTCTTCGGAGGAAAGAGACCAACGAAAAAAAAGATATTGACTAGTAGGTGACGAAAAGTGTCATTTTTGTTGCTTCCAGTGCACCAATTCGCCATTTAAAAAATAATAAAATTAGCTGTCGTTCATTGAGGCTTGGCGTGATGGCCCCGGTCCAATCCTCCAGAGTTGCTGGATATCGTGCTGGGGTTATGCCAGACTCATGACTTCTTCAGCCTTAGTATCGGTGTCTGGATCTTCTGTTTTTTTTTATGTATGAGATAATTTTGTGCTGAGTTCATTAGATAAGCTGAGATTAAAATGGTGGCTAGCAGTGGATAATCGATTTGGTGGAATGTGGAGATATCTCATTCGGACATCCCTAAATTAACAGGGTGGCGCCCTCGTTGTATTCCATGCTTCCTAAAGGCATTTTCTCCTCAGAACTCATCGAGGCGGCTCGAGAAACTCAGGATAGGCCTAACGTTCTTCAACCGCGCTGAAATGGTTCACGAAACTCGAAATAGACCTCTAATCGATCTAACGTTACACGTCCTCAACGATATGTCTCGAAGACGAGGGATTAAACCTTATGGGTCTAATTGGTCCAGTAAGTCGAGGATTGAGTTTCTTTTGAATGAAAAAAGGTAGACCTAGGCCTAACGTTAGTGAATTCCGTAGAGAAGGGAAGGGAAGGGGGGGGGGGGGGGGGGGGGGGGGGGGGGGGGGGGGGGGGACTACGGAATTCACTAACGTTAGGCCTAGGTCTACCTTTTTTCATTCAAAAGAAACTCAATCCTCGACTTACTGGACCAATTAGACCCATAAGGTTTAATCCCTCGTCTTCGAGACATATCGTTGAGGTTGAAGAAAGGGGAGGCCTTTGAAATGGTTTTCACCACTGGCTGCTGGTGGGTTGAAGACCTGCGGGGGCTGCACGGGCTGGGGCCGTTGAGCGCATGATACCAAGGGCAGGAATTAGTCAAAATTTTACCTCCCGTAAAACACATGGTGCAATGCATATCATACAGTGAATATTTTATGACTGAGCGCGAAGTCTAAGATTAATAAATGCAACGATCGCAGACATGTGGCTGGCGAAGAGGCACGAGATTTTCTTTTTGCACGGGAATGTTTCACCTAGCAGACGCAACGCAAGGAAAATTGACTCATATGTGCCTCGCGAGCCAGCGCGATGGCTGGCACCGGCGTGCTATATGGACTTGGGGCCGCGCTCGGCTGCAAACCAAGCTATGGCCTGTGTGGCCGGGCCGCCGAACGTAGACGAACATGGCCAAATGATTTTCATATAAGTTGCACAGAGGGCTGCGGGAGAAACGGGGAGGGCGCACATGGATCATATACCTCAATGTACGAGGGGTGTTCCAAAAGTTTCCGGAATTATTTTATAATAAAAAATACCTACAGTGTCGAATGAGTAGAAAAGTCACACGTATATTCTTCAACATCTCCTCTACCCTTCAAAATACTCGCCCTGTTGATCCAAGCACTTTTGCCACAGGGAGGGCAAATAATACGAGGGTCACTCAATAAGTTATCTACCTGAATAAGAAAGAAACATCTGAGGGGAAAAATAACACTTCATTTTTCAATGTAGTCACCTTTTAACTCAATACACTTATTCCACTTTGATTCCAAGGATTTTATTCCCTGGGAATAGAAGTCAACTTCTTGTCCATCAAACCAATCAGAAATGGCAACTTCATTGCATGAAAATCTTTTTCCCCGCAAAAATTTTTTCAAGTGTCTGAACAGAAAATAGTCACGAGGAGCCAGATCCGGGCTGTAGGGAGGATGGTTGAGCTCCTGAAAGCCACACTCCCTCACTGCTGCCTGAACTTTCCATGATTTGTGGACGGGCGCGTTGTCACGGAGAAGAAGGACCCCCCTTGACAACTTTCCTCTGCGTTTTTCCTTGATGGCATCGTGTAAATTTTTCATGGTGGTAGCATAGGAATCGCCAGTGATTGTACACTCGTCTGGCATGAACTCAAGCAGCAGTAGTCCCTCGCTGTCCCAAAACACAGTGGCCATAATCTTTCCTGCAGATTTCTGAACACGAAATTTGCGAGGCATTGGCGATCCCTTGTGCTTCCACTGCATGGACTCCTGCTTGGTTTCGGGATCCCAGTGATGAACCCAAGTTTCATCGCCAGTTACTATTCTGGGAAAAAAAGTTTCCCCGATTTGTTTAGAAAACTCCAAGTTTTCCTTGCAGATGTCAGATCTGTTCTTCTGAGCTGGAGTCAGCATTCTTGGGACCCATCGAGAACTTACTTTGGATATGTGTAATTTTTCATGAATAATGTGAATCACTGTGCCCTCTGAAATCCCCAGTTCATGAGCTAAAACAGAGACTTTGGTGCGACGATCCTCCAGTATCACACTCTCCAATTTGTCACACATTTCCTGATCAGAAGCCTCCACAGGGCGCCCCAACCTTGGGTCATCTTCGATTGACTCTCTTCCCCACTTAAACTGCTTGCTCCGAAATTTAACTTGGTAATAAGAAGGCGAAGACACACCATAAACGTTAGACATACGTTCATGAATCTCCTTAGGTGCTTTCCCTTCTTTGGTGAGGAATTTGATCACTGAACGATGTTCAACTTTCGTCAAATCCATGACACAGACTCAGGAAAAGAAATCTAATGCGCTACCACTTTGAACGGACTTGAGCCACTGAGCTGGTATAGTGGTGGGGCACCACGAGACCTGTCGAGACATGTCACAGCAGGCACAGGCCTGTTGCTCATCCCTTTCATATTCAGGTAGATAACTTATTGAGTGGCTCTCGTACATGACCTATTTGTAGAAGTCGTGCTGCTGCTGTTGGAGCCGTCTTGTTGCCTGCGTCCTCGAGGTGAAATGAAGGTAGGTGATTTTTCAGGCGTCCAAATAGGTGATAGTCTGAGGGAGCAAGATCAGGGCTGTAGGGCGGATGTGGAACGACAGTCCACTGAAACTCGGCAAGAAGGGCGGAAGTTGTCAAAGCACTGTGCGGCTGGGCGTTGTCATGAAGAAGAGTTCCTTGCCGCGCAATGCTGGCCTCTTCTTCGAAACTGCCTTCTTGAGTTTCTTCAGACTCTTGCAGTATCGCTTTATGGTGTCCCTTTATGGTCCCAGAAAACTGTCACCATCAACTTCTTGACAGAGGCCTGCGACTTGAATTTTTTTGGCCTAGGCGGTGATGTGTGGCGCCACTCTCTTGACTGTTCTTTTGTCTCAGGAAGGAAAAATGACAGCCACGGTTCGTCTCCAGTGATGACTGAGTTCAGAAAAGAAATGCCATTCTCGGCATGTTTCTGCAACTAGTCCTGGCACACATCGACACGTCTCTGCTTCTGCATCATGTTTCTTGAATCCATTTGATTGTGATTTTGCGATATCCTAATTGTCTAAATATTTCGACAACAGCGTTGTGGCCTATCCCAAGATCAGCAGCAATTTCACGCATTGTGATACGTCTGTCAGTTTGCACCAGTTCATGCACGCGGGCCGTGTTCTCCTCAGTCACTGCAACTGACGCCCGCCCACCGCGATTCGCGTCTTTAACGGTCACCTGTCCTTTAAATTTTCCAATCCACTCAAAAACTTGTTTCTTGCTTAGGGTTTCCGGCCCAAACACTTTTTCCAACCGCCGATGAATTTCCGTCCCGCCAGCACCCTCCAAACACAGAAAGCGAATCACGGAACGCTGCTGCAAAATGATCACCTCTTTTTCCATGTGAAGACCATGAAGGCAACCACATACTGATTTATGACTGAAGGAAACATGTTTCCATACCCTCAGGCGTATTTGATTAGAGGTTCTAACCTCTACGACCTCTAGTAATTTTTTAAGAAATATTTTCCGGAAACTTTTGGAACACCCCTCGTATTTCATGCAGGCTGCGGGGCGCGCAGCCCGCAGTGCTCTTAACTATATTAACAGTTCTCAATGCTTATTTCATAACATTGGAAAGTGCATTAAAATTGGAATGGAATGCATTAAACGCCCCAAGTGAAAAGGTGAGAGAAAAATATAAGTCTCACTCGGCAACAGAAGACGGCAAGTTGAAAAAACGCAGGCGGACAATCGGGCACCATGTCGGAAAGGGCGACGTAGTCAAGGCCGAAGTTCTCAGTGCGAGGGAGGACATCTGGATCCGCTTCGATGCGAGCGGCCATCTCGCACAAAATGATACCAAAGGAGAAGACGTCTGCTTTCTCGTTGTACCACTCGCCTCGCAAGCACTCGGGGGCCATCCAGTATGGTGACCCAACAACGGGTAAACGGGTGCTGTCATATTCAGTTCAACCAAGAGAGAAAGTTAAGTTTTAAATTATCTACTCTAATACAGCTTCTCTCTCACAGAAACACACACAGCAGATACCATGTGCCGTTAAAAAAAGGTTAATATACTAAACCAACTTTATTCTGAACCCATGTATAAGGAAGGGAAAGCTTCCTCTACGGATGGGATGAGCAGGGGTGAGCTTCCTCAAGGAATTCTTGTTCAGACAGGGGGAGGGAGAAAAAAAAAACAGTGAACCCAATTTCCCCTTTCACTGCATGGAAAGAACAAACGACTTCATTCAGAATTGACTCGCTTCGTTGACCCGTCCGTAACAAAATGTTGGAACAAGTTTTCGGTTTGGCATGAATAAAAGGGCATTATCCAAGGAAGATATGCACACTGCCTCCAAGATGGCTCATCGAATTGAGAGAGACGTCAAGCGGAATCTCCTCATTAACGCCACGACGCAAGGAAATTTTGGCTTGCATGCACATAAGATTTATCAATTGTTGGATCTCCGTCCGTCTACGGCAAAAATATATTGGCACCAATTTCAATACGATGGCCAGCATCAAGACCTAAGAAGTAGGTGATTTTTTCATACGTTGGTATGTATCTGAACTTCCTGTTATGATGCTGAAGTATGTTCGCTATTTGGTATTTTCCTTTTTCACTCTTGGGAGACGTGAACGGATTGTTCTCTTGAATATCCGATTTACCATACTCCATCGATGCTAACAGGAAACAATGGCAGACGACCTGCAGTGGACGAGGATGATGCTCGATGCCTTGGAAACCCTGATATTGGAAGAGCCCGTATCTAGTGTCAAGGAAATGAACATCCATCTCAGGACCATGCTGCCTCAAAAGCCACCCCTGTGTGATGAGACAATACGGAAAGCAATGAAGATGAAGTTGGGCCTTTCTGTCAAACAACTCCGGTAGCAGAAAGTGGAGGTGAATTCAACGCGAATTTCGGATTCCCCCAAGGTGTATGCCACCGATTTTATTTCAGAACCTCACCAGAAGGAGCTATTTTTCATCGATGAAACTGGAATGAACCTATGGCTTTCGAGGAAGGCTGGAAGGTCTCTGATTGGTGAAATATGCGTCTACCAAGTTGATAATCAGAAGAGCCAGAACATGACTCTAATTGCCGCGATTTCTCCCACTCATGGCCTGATACATTCGAAGAAGCTGTATAGAGGTTTCACTAGAGAAATCTTTGGACACTTTCTCGATGAAATGAGTGCTATGATAGGGCCAAAGAACGACGCTGTCTTCATCATGTACAACTATATGGCTCACCGAAGATTAATTCCCCGATACCCATCCCATGTCATCAAATTCCTTCCACCATACAGTCCCTATTTGAACCCTATTGAATTCACTTTCTCTCCATTCCAAGCAGAGGTCAAGAGACAGCTGGGTTCTCTGTTAATTCACATTGTAGATATAAACAGAGCTGCTGCTCAAGGTGTGTGTCTCTGGCACAATATCGCAGAAACATTCTTGAGAAATTCTGGATGACGCAATTAAGAGAGTGTATACCGTTGATTTATGCCGCAGAGCATATCAGCATTCCTTTGATTACATTAACAGGTCATTGGAGAGAAGTCATTTCTGAATAAAGTGGTTCTTTTCTATGCGGAGGAAGGTAAAGTGACTTTTTCTTCACTGTCTTCACTTCCCGTCTAGACATGAATTCCTTGAGGGGGAATGCTCACCCCTGCTCATCCTATCCGTAAAGAAGGCTTCCTCTTCCTTACACATGGGCTCAGAATCAAATTGGTTTTGTATATAAGAATATATAATATACAGTACAAGGTGATTATAAAGAAACTTCCGCACTTTAGTGCATAATATCTCGGAAATGAGACAGGAAGCTGAAATTGTACAGGGGTGTTGCGGGGACCATACGCTCAAAGATGCCAGTTGCCACCAGGAGCGCCACTGCGGCTTATTATGTATTTTGTACCAGCAGAGGTACCCGGCGTTGCACGGGTGAATATTGTATAGGTCCCATATTTGTCAGCAGTAAATACGGTACCCCAGGACAGGGCCGGATTTTGGGGCAGGCGAACCAGGCAGGGGGGGGGGGGGAAGACGCTCCTGGCCTGGGGCGCCATTTGGTCTTGTGCCAGCCCGTGTGTCCAAGGGGGGGTCCGAATTTTGAAACGCCACCTAGCCTATGACCATCCCCGGACCAAATGAGGAAGCCATGAAAAGTTTGATCGGACTGGGATCAGAGGCGTGGCCGTGCATCAAGGACAGACAGGCACACAACCATTCAGAAATACGAGGATAGTATAGATATTGCCTAAACATAGTGTCCCGTTAGTCATTTGAGGATTTGATACTAATGTAATTTGGGAATGACGTAATATATTTTGGGTCTGTAAAAATGTATGTTAATATGCAAGCTAGTAAGCCTTACTGCCAACAATATTGTTTCCCAGAAGTTCCAGATAGACATGAAAAAAGCTGATGTCAGAACCAACGAGTCAACATGGTTCTGGGATGGGCAAGTTTGAATCTGCGACACGAACCAGACGCAAATTCCAGCGCGGGCACCCTGGTGAGGCCGTTAGTGAAAACACAACACGTGACAATCGCAGAAGGTTCCGCGAAGCCGACTTTACCCACGATAAGAGGCGTAAGTCCATTTCTGGCAGACGATTGACGTCCGCTACTTTTCTTATCGTGGCGACTGCCAGCTTCGCAGGACTTTTTGAGATTGTCACGGGTTTTGTGTTCACTAACGGTCTCACCTGGAGGCACTCGCTGGAACTCGCGTCTGGCTCGTGTTGCAGATTCAAACTTGCCCATCCAAAAAACCATGTTGACTCGTTGTTCCGGTGTCAGGATTTTTCATATCCACCTGGAACATACCTGAGAAACAAATATTGTTGTCGGTAAAATTCATTAGATAGCACATTAATACAAATTTTTACAGACTCATAATATCCTACGTCATTCCCAAACTACATTAATATCAACTCCTCGACTTACGGGACCCCCTGTACTTTCGGGGGCATGTCCTCCTGAATCCCGACTACCTTGTATGTTATTTTTAATTTCCATTTAGTGTTTTCTGAAGGCAGTTTAAAAGCCGTATTCGATGTTGTTTTTCTTTTGAAAATTGAGCATAGGTAGTCTTGAAACCATAATTTGCCTCGCTGCTTTTAATTTTCCGCTTTTTCCAGATAGAATGACAAGATATCTCGACTGTCGATCGCAGTTCAACTCAATCAACCACATGAAAAGCTGACAGGTTTGAAGTGAGGTCAATTGGTGAAGTTGGTGAAACGTATCAAACTTATCATATGATACCTCCAAAATAGCTATTTCATCAGTTTCATACGTTACTAACGAATTTGCCCAAGCAGCACGGCAATATGTCAATATTATACAGTCGAACTCGGTTATAACGACGAAAGCGCCAGGTACCGGCGTAGGGCCCATAAGGCACGTTCATTTTACCTCGGTTATAACGAAGACCATTAAAGGTCCCACATACGAAATCGACAACGTTTATGTCCCTAATCCGTCATTCTTAAATGAAATTTCCGGCATTGGAAAAATTAGCGTTGGCGAGCCATAAGTTTATATTTCCTGATTTCGGCATTCCTTGAGAGTCATGTGGGTGTGGCTGGAGCAATGTTAGGGAGGGATAATCCCCATCATAGGCACAACTGGCGTCGTCCTGAAAGACCTCAAGGGACATGTCAGGAAGCTGGAGTGTGAAATCTCACTCGATATCCTCCAGCGTACAGCAATCTTGGGCACGGCCAGCATTCTTCGCCGTGTCCTTCAGAGTTAGGCGAGTATGAGGTCTGGGATGTGGTTCATCCCCCCTCATATCTTCAATATCGGCAGTCGCCGTGGAAGGATTTATTATATATATTTATTATATATTGGCACTCCGTTTTCCTGTTTTCAAAATTGATGCTATATAACTTTATAACTCTAGTTTACATTGGTCATACTACACTAGCTTCAGTTTCAAGATTGACCCACTTATCGTGATGTTCGCACTTCTTTGGACCTTGAACTACTTTATACTTTAGTAAGGTTTCGTCGATGTCATCTCAACAGACCTAGGAAGTTTCTTGTTTTGTGACATGTTCTCGTAAGAACGGGCGAAGCTGTCACGATTTTCCCAAATTGTGGAAACAGATGAACAGATGTCTATGTTCGCGAGCGACGTTAGCTTCACTTCGAGCTCTTTCTATTAAACTAATCAAGCACACTTTCCTTTCAATCGTGAAGGCTTGCCTCTTTCGTTTTCCATTGGCCATGTTGTCAACGAGAAATGGAAATGGCGACTGGAGATTAGGTGATCTTATTTACTGGGGATTATCTCTCCCTAACATTGCTCCAGCCACACCCACATGACTCTCAAGGAATGCCGAATCCAGGAAATATAAACTTATGGCTCGCCAACGCTAATTTTTCCGATGACGGAAATTTAAGTTAAGAATGATGGATTAGGGACATGAACGTTGTCGATTTCGTCTGTGGGACCTTCAATGGACTTCGTTATAACCGAGGTAAAACGTAACGTGCCTTATGGGCCCTACGCCGGGACCTGGCGCTTTCGTCGTTATAACAGAGTTCGACTATATATACAGGGTGTTAAGAAAGTTGTGTCCCATCACAATATGCCTATAACCTCAGCAAAAATGTGAAAATCAGGAAATTTTTCCATACACAACAAAAAGGACAGTTAACTGATTTAGAATCACTTAATAGTTTTCAATATAGCCACCCTTGGTGCAAATGACAAGGTTCAGATGACCCATGAAAGCATCGACTGATTTTCGCAAGTCTTCCTGTGGAATTCTCTCCCCATTCTCTGTTCAGGGATAGCTTGAGAGAATCCAAAGAATGGTGTTTTGTAGCTTATTTTTTGCTCTCCAAGATGGACCATATTGAAAAATCTAAATTGGATTTTTTTTTCAAGCC